ACACACACACACACACAGACACACACACACACACACAGACACACGCACAGACACACCCACACACACACACACACCCACCCACCCACCCGCCCACCCACCCACCCACCCACCCACACCCACCCACACGCACACGCGCACGCACACACACAGAGAGAGAGAGAGAGAGAGACAGAGGCGCGCCATCAACAACTATCAAGAGGACCGAAGACCGAGAGCAGGCGCAACTGCAGGCAACGTCAAAAAGCACACTACGCAATGTAGCTCTTGCCAGCAGGAAAGTGGCCCTCGGGAGGGCAACCTCCGCCTCAAACCTCGGATCCTGAAAACATGAACTTCGCGAGCCCAGAACATCTCCTCAAACGACCCCTTCTCAGCAGAGCACATGTGGTCCACAGCTGGAGCCTGGCAGAGTCTGCAGTTTACAAAAAACAGTAACAGTAAGCATGCCACTACATATCGAATCATGTGCGCACATTAAAAGTGGGATTCTGTGTAAATGGCTGTAGGCTTCGCTTGTGGGCTCTTAGAGTGCAGTGACTTTGGAAATACAGCTGCCTTTGGGGGTAGGTAAGGCTTGGCAGCTTAACCCCAATGCGTCTTTCATGAGCCCCATGCACCTTGCGGGAAGCCGAGCCACCCACCAGCCCACGGCCGGAAACTGTCGGCTAACCTCCCAAACCCAAGCAGAATAAGCTCACTTCGGAACCATAGCCGCAACCTTTGCTCTTTGCTATCGTTGAAGTTGCGGCATTCTTGACCGAAGACCTCGTCTTGGGAACGGGTTTTGATTTGGCAAGTGAATCATCCGGCTCTCAGGCAGCTAGAAAAATGGCACACGAAACTTCTGGACTACGAAGCATCCGAGATGTTTTCGCAGGGCTTTAGGTCTGGTTTAGTGCTAACAAGGTCGGCTACTTCGCGGATTGGCGGTTCTGTGGGGAGTTCGTTTGTCGCAGATGCTCTAGACGATGCCTCCAAGTCCTCTTAGACCCGACACCTGAACTCAATCCTCGAAGATTTGGGGAATTTGGGACTGACAAGAGTAGTTAACCGGGCATATGCAGACCTTACGCACACGATTCTCCCTCATACCGAGCTCACATGTCAGAGAGACTGGCAGAACGCCGCTGCTGAACAGACCTGGAAACCTGATCCAGATCATGGGCTCTGAAGCGATGACATCTGTCACATCTGCGGCAACGAACCATGTCAGTAGTTGTTGTGAGTCCTGATGGCGTGGCCCTGATCTCATGTTGGTTGTGTTACTGGATGCTAAATGAAGGTCTCCGAAAATAGGGGACCCCAATATAGTACCCTAAATAGTAGGATCCTTATTTAAGGACCCCCCAAATAAGGTACCCTAATTTTCGGAAAGTCCCAAAGATTACTCAGGCATGACAGGTATGTCGCTGCGGGAAGGCCCGTGAGGTGAGCTACGATCCTTGGAACAATGGTTGTGCAACCCCAACAGGGAGGCTAAGACCATGTGCCTACATTCCTCCCTAATTATATCATGCCTATATATCCGACGGATCTGATCAGCTACGACCTCGTGCCTGAGCTGGTTCTGGGCTTAGGTTTCAGGTTCTCCATGTCCCAATTTGCTACGTCTAGAAGCCTAAAGCTCAAAGCCTACAAGGCCCTGAACCCAAACGACGGGGACGAGTGTTTCGTGTTTGTGGTAGGGGTAGTTCGCCCGCTGTCCGATCTTGAAGCCTGAAACCCCTCAATGCCCCAATCCCCTGAAAGATCTTGAAACCTGTAAGCCCTCCAGTCCGAAGTCTTTCAGAACCAACACAAAAGTCTCCGGCTGCCTGGGTTGAGACTGATTGGTGCAGACCGAAATCTCTGAGATGGCCGGCGACAAGAAGCTGGCAAATGGCTCTTGGTGTGGAACTGGGCTTAGGTTGCTCTTGGGGTTGAACTAGTTACAAGTTTCTTGGAGGTTAACTGGCTGTTAGACAAGCCTGGGCGAGGTTACTAAAAAGGCTTTAGGGCTTAAGGGTCCGTGGGGTTGAAAGCTTCGGTTGTCACGTCGCGGGGCTGTGAGCTCCCCAGGTTCTCGAGGTTCGGACGATGCATCCGAACGGGATCGCTCAAGCCATGAACTCCAAGCTCGTTTAGAAAGGAAGAACAACTCGCCTGAAACCCTTAAGCCATTGAACCCACGGGCTGCCATACCAAAGACAACACCGGCTCTTGAGGTCAGGGCGGCAGATTTTGTGTCCGGGGGGCAGGGGATGTCAAGGTTTTGCAAGGGCTTTCAGGGTTCACGTGGGAGTGTAGGTTGCGGGAGCCGTGCTGAATTTGCGAGCTCTGAGTTTTTCAACAATGTAGGTGTTGATTGCGGAACTCGCCCAAAAGCAAGCACCAGACCCTCACGTGTAGTACCCGCTCAAAATGGCAAAAGCCTCCGGCCAGCAATAAGGCTCATTCTGCTCATCCATGTTTCCCTGGTTGCACTAACTGATGACATAACAGGATTCATTCTTGCTCTTCCTATCACCACGACTTATCATGCTATGGTGCCCCTGACATCATAGCTGCTATAGGGAAGCTGTGTCTTTCTCGTCTTCAACATACCACCACTCGTTTATCTCTCCATCTCTCTCCCTCTCTCTCTGTCTCTCTTGCGCTTGCTGTCTCTGACTGTATCCGCATCTGTGTCGGCTTCTGCTTTTGCATCTATAGGTGCATGTGTCTGTGTGTATGTATGCATGTGTGTATGTATGTGATATATATATATATAGATATATATGTACATATATATATATATTTTTTTTCTTATTTATTCATATATTATGCATGTCCAAACATGCATGTATGTATGTGTGTATGTACGTGTGCGTGTATGTATGTATGTATGTATGTACGGATGTACGTATGTGCTATGTATGTATGTATGTATGTATGCATGTATGTATGTATGTATGTATGTACGTCTGTATGTCTGTATGTGTGTATGTGTGTATGTGTGTATGTATGTATGTATGTATGTATGTATGTATGTAAAATTGAAGATAAGGTGTACATAGTTACTTATAGAATCGTGAAATATGAACATGCCATTACATAATATATCATAACATAACAGCTTTAGCATACCGTAATCTCATGTAATCTGATGCGATTTAGCATGCTATGCTATACTATACTCTATTCTACTATGCTATACGAACGCTACGTACGATACGATACTACACTATACTGTACTAAGCTTTTCCAATCTTCTCTCTACTAGACTATACTAGACTATACTACACTACACTATGATACTATAATGTACTATAACATGTTGCGACAGCCATACTTACATGCCTAGATACATGTTTGGCGGATGTCATCATATGACATTGTACTTCATTGTTGTTTTAAGATTATTACTGCTGTCATCAATCGATGAGCCTCATGGGGCCGGAGACTAGCGGAGGCCGGCTGGTTCACTATGCCGTCTGAAGGACTGCAGGTACTGAAGGACTGCCGAGGGCCCAGATTTGACAGCTGCCTGCAGCCGCCAGATGACTTCGTAGAGGCGCCAGAAAGGCTTCAGACGATTCTCAATGTAAGTCCAAGCCATCGCAACAATGACTTGGAGGATCATCAAGATGACTAAGGCCAAGTACAGCTTGTCTTTGACGGCGTCAAAATAACCCTCGCGCAGCATGTAGGATCCGCATGCAGTTGCCGCGATAACGATCAGGAACAGTCGCACGACGGTCTTATGCGTTGCATTGCAGCAAAACCGTTCAGTCATCTGTCTCTCACAGTCGGCAAAATCAGGAGCACGCTCACGCTCCTTGACATGTATCCAGCGACGGTTGCTCGTCTCGATATACTTCTTGCGCAAGAAGAAAGCAAAAAGATGTTTCAAGTACATCAGAATGTAGATGCACGTGAGGATTGAGGCGACAAGAAGCGTCAAAGGTAAAGGCTCGCCGGAGTCGATGCCTTGCAAGCTGAAGCTACTGGGCCTGCCATGAAGCGACGCGGACAGTTGCAGAAGCTCCCTGGAAAGGGCACCTTTAAGCTGGGAATTCTCCAGGCGAAGGTGCAGGTCACTCCTGCGGATGTCTGCGTCCTGCTGCAGCTGGGACCAGGAAGGAGACCAGGGCACTTCTGGAGCTCTTCTGGTCATCGCAGTCTGCAGCAAGTGCATGCTACAAGCGTCATCATGCATGCTGGACAGAATCCAGGGCGTCTGCAGCGCAGGCCACATGTTGCATTCCGTCTCGGAAAAATATGAAAGCGGCAGAGGAAGGGTTGTTCATCCTGCCAGCCTGCCAGTTCTTGAGCCATTGAGTGGGAGCCAGGGGTTTTCGAGAACCACTGTTATGTTATCTTATATTATATTAAAGTATATTATATGTATCATGTGTATATATATATGTTATATGTAATGACAAGACTCGGCTTGTCCCGAATCTGACACACTAGCAACACATCGCATCCAACAACCCCTTCCAGGTGTCCCATGCCTGACTAGCAGCAAGATCGAAACTTCTGCAACTTGCACCCTGCATCCCACATTCTGCACTCCAAGATGCAAGCTACAATGTTTGAAAACAGGGTTGTCGGGCCCGAAAGCTCTCATAAGGTTTACAATATTCCCGGTTTATTTCCCTTTCAGTGAAGTTCAGGCTACTCATATCTGCAAACGCTGAGGTCGAGATTTGGGCTCAGAGGGTGGGAAAGTTGGGAAATACTACTGTTCAGGGTCCACGGTTCGTAAGCCGTCGGAGGTGATACACAGCGACAAAGCACATGTGGCGTTTCTTCGTTTAAGGCACTTCTACATTTGCGTGCGCAATTTAATGCCCATATCCATATCCACTTCAAGCTGGCGCCACTGTGGATGGCTGCCCTACTCTTCTCAAAGTCAACATGCTTGCTGTATCGCGAGGAAGTTGTCCGCAAAGAGGGCCTCATTTTTGAAAGCATATCTCAACAATATTCAACAATCATCCAAACCTAACCCAGTGCCTCGACAGCGAGGCGGTTTTCTAGCAGCCCCAAGCGCTGGAAATACTGTCGCCGGGGTCCTTACTAGACGGAAAATCAAAAGCCGAACAAGGTTAGAAACTTTCAAAACCCCAACCATGCAACCGTAAGTGTCTCCAGGCCTAAACCCCAAACCTAAGACCGCACACAGCAAATCATCAGAAGTGGCCTGGCATCGGTACCTTCCGATTGCTTGCGTGGCCTCGGCTGTTTAGCAGCTTGGATTCATCGTAGCCTCGTGTTTCTGGGTTAGGGGTGAAGGGAATCAGGGTACCTCATTCAAGGAAGGGTCCAAGTAATCAGGATCCCAGTACTTGGCATCAACACCAGTGCCACCTAGGGCCCCGTAAGCTCTATGAAGCACGGCTGGCATTTAGGGCTTTATTCGGATTTCCTGGGCAGTCGTGGGGGTGAGGTGGTGCGCGAGCCAGCAGATTGGGACGCAGTCTCATAGAGAGTCTTCTAGCCGCACACCCAGATGGTCACCCCGCGCTCTTCCCAGAATTGCTTCCAGATATGGTAGGTAGCCTTCGAAACGGATGCCAGGGGACATCCGTGGCGAAGAACCCATACGCATTGATGATATCATGTCTTTGGAATTTCTCGAATTAGCACACGTAACCTTCGCCTGTGTCGGCTTCGCAGATGTGGTGAACAAGAAACTCTCGTTAAGGCCACGCCTCCGTACCAGCGGGACAGGAGCAGCTGGTGGCTGCAGTATGGCCTCAGCAGCACTCAAGGCCTGTCACAAGGCTTAGGTATTCAAAACTTTGAGCAGGAATCCGGGGCTAGAATAATAAAGTCCGATACAACCCTCAAACCCCCGTTTAGCACGGCTTCCCTCGCGGAATCGTCCTTGTGCACACTGGGGCAGCTGAAAGCTGTAGCCCCATCTTGCATCCGGATCACCCCAAAAGCCACCCGAAGTCTTTAGAACCCGTTGCAGAATCCCACCTCAGCTCCAAATCGAAACTCACTGGACAAGAAGCTGGGCCTGACATGCCCAAGCCGGGCATACACGGGTCTTCAGCTTCAAGAACCAGGCCCCCGGCATCGCCAGGTGGTGCCGTCAGGTCGTCGTCTGCCAGGGGGAATAATAAAGGCTTGAACAGTGTTCGAAAGGCCTTCCTGTTTCGGGTTTTGCCATTTCGGTGTGATTTGGACTTCAGGAAAAACAGGAAACACTTTTAAATCTCCCTTAGATGGAAACCTGAGAAGCGTCTTAACATCTATGGATGTGAAGCTCTGGCTGGGCAACCCGGCTGATCTCATGTACCTTGAAGCCTTAGAGCCTGTTGCGACCAGCTGAGCCCACCAAACAGGTGCGAATTCCTTAATCACAAGGCAGCCAGACACCGAATCATGACCGCCGCTGTCCTTCCTAGTTCATCTGGCCGCTGCCCGACGATAGCTGGTTTTGATATCGATAACTACAAAGAGCCAAGGAATCGTCCGCCGTGTATGGGCCTTGCAATCTACCTGATGCCTGCAACTCGCGAAATAAATTCTGTCTGAACCTGGAGCTTCGCGCAGAGAAAACGTGTGAAATTCCAAACAGGCGCCCGCACACAAGGCCGAAAGTTGGCGAGCGTTTCCTCAAAAAATCAAGCCTAGGAGCTGTAAACCATTGGTCTATGGTCGACCCGACAACCCCTAAACCCTAAACCCCTAAACCGAACCCTAAACCCTAAACCTCTAAACCTGAGACCTTCCAACATCAGAATCCCTCTGCTCATTTGCACTTGCGCCTAGATCCGAGGGCCGCCTTTGCGGCCTTTGCATAGTCGCGGTTTTGGGATAGACGAAAGGCCCGCAAAGTCGCGGGTGGACGTTGTGAAGCTTCGGCATCTGGAGCCTATTCTAAAGACTGTTGCTCTGCTGTGGAAAAGCACCCCTCGGGGCATGCAATGAACTATTTCAAAGCTGGACATGCCGTTCCAAACTCTAGACCCTCGAAGCAGAGAAAGCTGGAAACTGCAACATGTTTGGCCAATGACATACAAACCTCATTGCAGCATTTTCAGAAACGTTGGGAACACTAACCGCAGCAGCCGCCGTGCAAAGTATGCCTCTTGTTGAGCAAAGAAGTACGAGGCAGCAAGTGGTTGCTTAGTATGCAACAACCCATAGTCGGCAGCAGGTGGTTGAAGTGGAAGTGGTGCTGGTGCTGATAGTAGTAGTCGTCGTAGTAGTACTAGTCGTGATGGTGGTGGTAGTACGACTGGCCTTACTGTCGGCAAATCCGGTTGTTGCAATGGTGGTGGTCGGCAGCGGCATAAGAAATATCAAGCATCGGAAAAGGCACAAAACCGGGGTGTGCCATGACCGCGTTTGCCCAAAAGGAGGTCACGGCCAGGTCCCCCACGGCACAGGAGACTCCTTCTCGGCGGGAAAAGTAAGTTGCCTGAAGACACGGCCGAGAGCATGCGGCTATCGAAATGATGAGCGGCTGGGGGCAGCTACAATCATGCCTCGTTCCACATGCCTATGGGTCCACAATTTTTCGTCCATATACTCCCGTCGTCATGCACGTCCATCTGATTTTCAGGATCTGTCTGCGCAGTGACTTACACCTCGATTGCGCCTCTTCCCTTCCCGCTTCGTGATACTGCTTCAATGCGCCCCATTGCTTGGACATCCATCGAAATCAAAAGTCCGCTTGCAGCTTGTCCAAAGCAAAGGATGAAGACACCAACACGCTAAACCTCCTTCAAACCCTGAGGCCGAAGCTCAAATACCTGAAAACAATCACAAAACAACATACGTATACAGTATACTCTCTCTCTCTCTCTATATATATATATACATATATATATATACACACACACATATAGATACATACCCCGGTCGCACCCATCTATACAAAGCCTGCGAAAGTCCTCAAAGCCTGTAGTAGCATCAACAAAACCTGAGCTGCACAAGCACTAAGCCCCACCACCCACTAAGTCACTAGGGCCTCCCTTAAAGCCTAAACCCTTTTTTAAGCAGGGACTGCAATGCATTAAGCCCTGAATCCCTTCAGCTAAAGCCTAAACCCTGAAGGCCTTATTCCCCCTGTGGCTGTCAGCGATGGTGACGGCGGCGCCGAGGACTTCGGCGGCCGCCCGGGCATCGGCTCCGACGAGCGACGCACCTCCCTTGGAAAAGGCTTTCGGAAAGGAGTCATGGAATGGTTTTACAAAGAGGGTTTTTACATTAAAAACCATGACAGAATGGTTTTAGAACTTTTGTTGACTCTTATAGGCAATCCCTCGCCCCCGCCTGTTCATCCGATGTGGATGCACCAAACGAGATGTGAATCTGAACCTACTCATCATCGCGCATGCAACGTACTCCCCCGGCCCACTGCCAAGACAAGTATAATATATAACGTCCCAACAAAACTAGCACCATACATACGCCTCCTACGAAGTTCAGCTCGTCCGAGTCCCGCGCCTGCGATCTATCTCCGCCGCGGCGCGAGGCCTGAGCATAACAGGGCTAAAACTTTTTATGCTGTGGCTATGTAGCTGCTTATGCTTTTGGGGTCGTGCTTGCAGGATCTTGAAGGTGTCAGGTGTCTTGGTTGTGCGGAGTTGGGTTTGGTTCCGGGGGTCAGCTGCAAATGGTGGCTTGGGTCCAAGGCTGTTAACATCAAAAAGGGCAGCTCAAGAGCATGGGAGCTTCTGGAGCAAAGTATCGGGAAGTGATCCAGTCTCTCTCTCGCTCGCTCGCTCGCTCGCTCTCGCTCTCTCTCTCTCTCTCTCTCTCTCTCTCTCTTTCTCAGGTCGGTCATAGAAAGCAGAATCTGCTACTCTTTGTTGTTAGTTGCATGTAGAATGTGGGCTAGAAATATGCAGCTATTCCGATAGGCAACTACCTAAACCGGTGATCAAAAACCGACATATGCGCAAAGCAGCATGCCGTAGAGTTCCGCGGTGTAGGTTTCCAGGGAAGGGACTTCGGACTTCGTCCGCCGGCGCCCCATCAAACCGTAGCCCGGAAGCCTAGATTATTCCAAACTCTCGGACCTTTTTGCATCAGGATTTGTGCAAGTGCCTGAACATTGACTTCCACAGTCCCAACAGTCCCAACATACTCCGAACTTGAACCTAAAACCCACGCAACAAAACACCTGCAGCTACCCCAGACCCGAACACCCACGACCTTCAGGCTGCAGAACAAACCCTGAACCGAACCATATCACAAGGCCTGAAGACACGAAGGCTGTCCCAATCT